ACAGAGGGGACACGGGGAGGGACATTGGGGGGACATAGGGACACGGAAGGGACACAGAGGACAGGGAGGGGACACAGATGGGGACACTGGGGACCCCGGGAGAGACAGGGGGGACACAGAGGGGACACTGGGGGGTCACAAGGGACATGGAGGGGACATGGGGGACCCTAGGACTGGACATGGGGACACAGGGGACATGGAGGGGACGCAGATGGGGACACTGGGGGGGACACAGGGGACCCCAGGAGGGACAGGGGACACGGGGGGGACAGAGAAGACCCAGAGGGGACGCGGGGACACAGAGAGGGACACTGGGGGGACACAGAGGGGACAAAAAGAGACCCCAAGATGGACAAAGGGGACATGGAGGGGACATGGGGGGGACACAGAGCGGACATTGGGGGGACACTGGGGGACCCCAGAAGAGACAGGGGACATAGAGGGGACAGAGGGGACACAAAAGGGACACGGAGGACCCAGGAGGGACAGGGGGACATGGAGGGTGACATTGGGGGGACACAGAGGGGACATGGGGGACCCCAGGAGGGGACATTGGGGGGACACAGAGAACATGGAGGGGACCCAGGGGACAGAGGGGAACATTGGGGTGCCCAGGAGGGACAGGGGGACACGGAGGGGACACTGGGGACCCCAGGAGGGACAGGGGGGACACGGGGGGCACAAAGGGGGACACTGGGGGGACATTGGGGACACGGAGGGGACACGAGGGGACACCAGGGGACACCGGGAAGGATGAGGAGATGGGGAGGGGACATGAGGGGACACGGGGGGGACACAGTGGACACGGAGGGGACATTGGGGTGACACAGGGGACCCCTGGAGGGGACATGGGGACACGGAGGGGACATGAGGGGACAGAGGGACCCCAGGAGGGACAGGGGGACACAGAGGGGACACGGAGGGGACACTGGGGACCCCAAGAGGGACAGGGGGGACATTGGGGACACAAAGGGGGACATTGGGGACACAAAGGGGGACACTGGGGGGACATTGGGGACACGGAGGGGACATGGAGGGGACACCGGGAAGGATGAGGAGATGGGGAGGGGACATGAGGGGACACGAGGGGGGACACTGGGGACCCCTGGAGGGACAAGGGGACACGGAGGCGACACTGGGGGGGACACCAGGGGGGATGGGGGGACACGGAGGGGACACGAGGGGACAGAGGGACCCGGCATTGACCAACGCAGTAT